ACCGTTCATAAATACCATTAGTCTAATGAATGATAATAGAAGAGAAATGCGCGTGACTTCACACGCAACTACGTGTGAGTTGTAATTAGCATAAACAATGGTACTGTTTGAACTATCGCTGATGATGTAAACAATGACAATACTTTCATTTATCAGTTAGAATATCAAAAACAAAGGCAAAGTGTGATAAAGAAATGATCTTGATCAAACTATCTCATTGAGAGATTTCTCACCTCTGTCAGCCATCCTACGTGTGTTTGTATATAAGCTAGCCAATTTTTGAAATATTTCACAACACATACAAACATTTGAGAAGACAAAAATGAGTGAAAACAACATCGAAGATCTTGTTGCAGAAACAGAGGTCTGATAGGAGAGAATAATGAAGCCAGAGAGAGAGAGAGAGAGAGAGAGAGCAAAGAGAGAGAGGTAATAATAATCGTTGATAACGATTTTTGAACGCATTGAACAGGACTTAGATGAATTGAGAGGAGGTGTAGGAATCACTGCGAACAACAATTTTTGTGTTAAAATGATGTGATTGATCTGTGATTCTGATTACAAATTCCTATATTCGTTTTGATTTACAGATTCAACTGTACAATGGAGTGGACGACAGCCGAAACCCGTTAAGTACGGTCTCATTTGAAGTTTCAAATCGCTCAAATACTGTTCATTCAGAATGGTTTTGCGCATGAATCATTTGAATTTCAAAACGATGTGGATTACTTGGAGCACAATGACAGATTAACAAAAGGATTTTCATTTTATTTCACAACAAATGTCCTTAAAAAAATGTATTTTTTTGGTTCCTTCTTGCTAAATCAGAAAATGATGGTGAAATGAGGGGTGAAAGGAGTAGAGTATTGCTGTGAAGTCATATGAAGCTGATGAGAGCTATGCAACCTAGCTTCATCAGACTAAAAGCTGTATAAAGAACATAGCTTGAGCATCAACAAACGACAAGAGCGAATAGGAATTTTGAGAAAAAATTGAAAATTAAGCACCTTTTACCATATGGAGAGATGGTCGTATCTCATCTTTTGATTCGTTATGCTATTTTTGGGAGATAGAATTGTGAAATCTGCACTCGACCAGATGGACTTTAAGAGAGGGTGAAAGAGAGAAACAAGTATGAAGAAGAAGATGAAGAAGAAAAAGACGTCCAATATACATACCAATGTACTTCTTCTCTATCACAAGGGGGTCAATTTACATTTATGTTTCAAACTATGCTTTTCATTCGTTCTTCATCGCTATTTATTTAAAAATTCCATTTTTTTTTTATTCAAAACAAAATTATTTTTTGCACTTTAACACACTTTTTTAGTTCAGAAAAGATGCTTTTCCTTTTTCGCATTTAAATCAACTTTCTATATGAATTTTAATTATTTTTTTTTAAAAACAGAATGTCCTAATAGGACAGTCGATTCTTCATCTACTTTGAAAATTCATTTTCACATGTTAGTTTTGTGAGTTTTGATGAGGAAAAGTAAAAATCCGTTGTGTAGACTGTTAGATTGGATAAACAGCTACATTTGTCTCCAGATGGCAAGAATGGATTTTGATGTTCACACGCATACACACATGCACACACATACACACACACACATGCATACACATATCAACTTCTTGCTATTGTTGCACAGAGGAACTACAAGTCATATGCTTCACATTGGAAAAGCAGTCAATTGACCAACTGCAGTGTAGCTCTTGCTAGATTCTTTTGCATTTTTATACGAAATAATATGCTCAAGAATGAATGCAAAGAAACAATTCGTTCATGTCATTCAAGGGAGGATTCAGGTCAAAGAACGTCGATGCTTTTTGAAATTTATCCTTTTATGGTCAAAATGTCATGGAATAGCCATTGTATTTCACGTGAATTTGAGTGAAGTACACTGTAAGTACAAGTGTTCAACAAGTGCTGTTTACCAGAACTGATCAAGCCATATATGGGGCTTTTTGAAATGAATTTTCCAACTTTGAGATCTCATTAGAAGTGTTGATGAAAGACTAGAATGATGTTATGAATCACAAGATCTCAGGTAGTATAGCTTGAATAGAGAATTGAAGATGAATAAAGTTTAAAAAAAGGTTGCAAAAACATTTTTCTTCAGTTGAATCTTCAACTTATGAATGTTTGAATCAGCTTATTCCAACGTTCAGATATATAACAACATAAACCTTTTTTCAAGTAAAAAAAACTTTTTAAATGAAGAAGTACTTTAAGAGGAGGAAAACATGATGTATAATAGGAAAGCAAGACGTTATTGTCAAATAAATTATTAAAGATAAAGAGGTAAAACTAGTACGCAAGAGGTAGGGCAAGCAGGCAATAGGTGTGGAAGGTTGGGTGGGGGGAGAGTGAGGGAGTAGAAATGGGGGTGGTAAGTAGAGATATATAACGTGACTCTCAATTGTGAAATACTGATCGTATGAGAAGAAAATAAAAGAGACCAACTAGTGGACAGATTATATAGAGAAAGAGGGAGAGAGAGAGAAGGTTAAAAATGAAAAACACAACCGCTCAATGCGTTGTTACGCAAAGAAATGAAATTATTTCGAAATGGCTACTTCATTTATGCAAATTAGCTGCATCACTAGATTACCTTTGATGATATTTTCGAACGAAAGGATGAAATGAAAATATTTTTTTTTATAAAAAAAGCTCATTTTTATTTAGTTTGATAGTTTATATAACAAATTTGTTATTGTCCATTTAGATCATGAGAGCGAATGGGAGGTGGAAGAGTGGTGGGGGGGGGGAGGAATGTGAGATGGAATAAGGTAAATAACGTCTATATTTAGATAATTCATAGTCTACAAGTGATTTTGATAAAGTCCTTCGTAAACAAGAAATAAAAAAACATATTTAAAAGAGCACTTGCCTTAAACAGCATACTCTGTGAGAACTCTAAGAGGAGATGCTGAGTGAAGATGTAAATATGTCACGACTGAGAGGAGAAGAGGAGGAGCACCAACAACGATATCTGCCGACTTTCAGGAATAACTGATTCTCGTCGAAAACGACGACACAGCCAACTCGATGCGGAACAGTTTTTTTGTGAAAACGGATTGTGTCTGCTTATCAAAGCTAACCGAGATCAGACTACAACGATAATCCCAAGATTTTTGTTCACAAAACATTTTTTTTGAAACAAATGAACGAGGTGAGATATGATAAGAAGCTTAAATGGCAAAGCAAGTGAAGCCGTTCTGTAATACTCAATGCAATTTGGAGAAAGCCATTTTGCTATACTGGAATTAAAAACTTTTTCATTATCAAATAATGAATATAAAAAATAAAATGAGGAATTGAAAGAGAGAGGGAGAGAGTGAGTGAGAGAGAGAGTGAGTGAGATCCGTGGACAATACGGAAGAGGTATATAAGACAAGACAAAAGCATTATTTAGAAGTTCAGAGAGAAATATACATATCTAAAGAGTGAGAGAGACATAGAACGATAGGGACTAAAGAAATTGAAGAAAAGCTGTTTTGTTGACTACTAATGAAAGCTTGTATTGTAGCTGACATAGCAATTAGTAAACAACTGGAGCACCGTGTCAACAATCTCCTCACCCCTCTTCCTCTCTCTTTCTCTCTCTCCCTCTCAATTCTTTTTCTCTTTTTCTCTTATTCTCAAGCTCTGTCTGTACGTTTTTTTCTACTATTTACTAAGAGTAATACTCTTAAACAGCCATTCTTTTCTCCAAATTTGGATAAAATAACACAGGGAACCAAATCAACAAAACTATAAATAGATCAAAGTATTTCTTCATGAGCACATACAATTTTTAATTCAATTTTCAATCATTTCTTCATCTGTCTCATTACCTCTCTTACTCTCTCTCTCTCTCTCTCTCTCTCTCTCTCTCTCTCTTTCTTTATAGTTTGAAAGCAGAGAAGAAAGACCAATTAGAAAGTTATAGGAAGTTCTACTCAGAGCTTGCTTACAAAAAAATACCTGTTAAGGTGACAACTGGAATATCGCTTAGTCTCCTACCAATAGACACACAGACATGCTCTCGCATCAACTTCAATCAAATCATTTTTTGTTTTGTTTTGTTTACTGTTTGTGTTACTGGAAACTGATTCGAAGATTGCGAAAAATAACTTCGAATATATGAATTCATTGGATGTACGTAAGTAAATGAAAACTGAAAAACTCGAGAGCTGTGAGAGAGAGGAGAGAGAGTGAGAATGGAGTTACGACAGAACCTTTCTGATGCATGTATTCATAATCACTTTTATGACGTAATTTCGTGTATAACATGAGGCTGAAGCTTCCAATAGAATTGAGAATATGGAAAAAAAAAAAGTTTCAAAGAAAAAAAAAAGAGAAGGGCCGATCTGTCTCTTTGTTATTTTAAAGATCACACGTACAGTCATATGGATGAACATTCCTGAAGATTTTCCGGCAACATTGACAAGTTGGTGACTGGCACGGCTATTCTAATGTCTTTGTAAGATATTTCCATTTTTTTTCAAATTCATTCAATCGTCTTGATGAAATGTTTTCATAAGTTCATTTCTTTTTGTTTTGTAGACAAAAAAAAGTGTGTTAACCAATAAGTTTGTTCTTTTTTTAAACTTTAAAATCTGTGTGAGAATCACTTCCGCAGTATGGGTGGGTAATGCTGAAGAGAGAAGATGGTGATGGTGCAAGAAGGGACCAACATCATGTTGGCCAAGAAAGATGTTTGAAAGAGAATGAAAGATGCAGCAGACTGCAGACTTCTTCAGCAGAGATTGAATTTTATAGATTAAACATCAGAGATTTCATAATCAAAAATGGAACAAGACGTTCTTTATGGTGGTTTAGGATGAAAGCGCAAGGAGTGTTGTAAGTAATTCGTAAACGGTTTGATAAGAAGATAAGTGTTTGGGGGGGGAATTACCAGAAAACATGTTTTATTGTTCAAACAATCATATATTTCATTATTATTATTATAATTATATATATATATATATAGACATGGATAAATAAATTAAATATTCTAATAAGAATAGAATCCTTGTTTGGTTTTTCGACCCAGCTTTCCTTGTTCAACTAATGAATCAAGTAAAGCGCATGGTTCAAAGCGGCTATCGTTCGGCATAGATTCTCTCCAGACTGAAAATAGATGGAATCGAAGATCATTGGGTAAGGTTCACATTGGTATTTTGATAATAAAAAAATGATTTTCATTAGTTCAAATATTTAATACCTTTCATGACATTTTGAAGTGTGTCTAGTCCGACATAATCGCAAAGTTCTAATGGCCCCATCGGGTAGTTTGTTCCGCATCTCATGCCTATAATCAGATAGTTTATAACATTTTAAATATTTAATTTTTTGATGAACGAGACAATCGCCTGGGATTCCCCACGAGTTATATGTTGATAGAAATATCAGGAAAAGCATTTACCGGCATCAATATCTTCCATGGTTGCATCTCCACGTTCAACCATTCGGATACTCTCTATCAAGTATGGAATTAACAAACGGTTGACTATGAATCCAGGGGTATCCTAGAAAGAGAGTGTCATTCCAATCTATGAGTGTAGTCTTTGATGCATACCTTACAAGCAATTGATGTTTTATCAATTGTTCTACAGAATTCAATTAAAACTTGCTTCGTTTCATCAGAAGTCAGTGATGTGCTCACTACTTCAACAAGCTTAATCAGAGGAACAGGATTGAAGAAATGAAGTCCAGCAAAATGAGCTGGATTCTCAATACATTCAACAATATCCATCAGACGAATAGATGATGTGTTAGTGATGAGTAAAGCATTCCTGAAAATCAAGTTGTATGCTTCATTTGCATTCATCAGCATTTGCTTACGATGGACAGTATTCTTGAACTTCTTCAAAAATTTTTCGCTTCAATTGCAAATCTTCTGCAACTGCTTCGATGACCATATCAGCATTCTGTACAACCTTCGATATTACCGTATTATATGATAAACATGACATCTGCTGATCGACAACAGAATTGACTTCTTCCTACAACATCCAATGTACTTTTCAATTATTCAATTTCCCCTTTATTACTTTATCTAACTTATTGGCTTTGGAAGCATGTTTCACCAATCCCCAACGGATACGTTCAGAGCATTCCACTAATCTCTTTGGATTACGACCATATATGGACACCTTATATCCATTTTGAAGACAAATCTTAAATATGGCCAGTTGTACCAATTTTACTTTTTTTTTACTTTTACGCTATACTTTCTACTCATTTCCTCTTACTCTCTTGATCTCTTTCTTCCGCTTCAAAACAAAAACAACAACAACAACAACTGCGGCATGGGCTAGAAAACAAAAAAAATGAAAATACTTCAACCGCTCTTCACGTCTACTTCCTCAAAAATAAATTCTTAGCTTTTCCGCTAAAATCATTTATGCTAATTTCACGTGTAAACGTCAAGTGTTGATGCCAGCTTGATTTTCAGTTTTGTTTTCCTCAAGGTTTTTGAACGCAAAAATAACAATGTTTGAAAGGATGATTGAAATGAGAAAAGTTGAAAGATGGCTTCTGATTTTTGATTTCAAACATGCTCCGCTGAGCACGGATTTCAAATATCTTTACATTTTCGACATTTCCTTGTCAAAATAAACTCAACTGACCTGAGCGATTCCACTTCCCATCAATCCATAACCAAGAATAGCAATATGGTTTAAGGAAGCAGTTGAATTATTTGTGGATGCAACCATATCTGGAAGTTTTAGAAGTTTCGATGTGGGGTGAAGACTTAATATCCGTAAGTTGCTTCAGGCTTTATATATTGTCAGCTATTCTTCACGTGGTTCGTCACTGGCCAGGTCCTGTTATCAAAAAGCCTGATATACATGAGGCGATGGCGCCACAATGGCAATTGTTTTCTGACTGAAGCCGTTGCGCATTTCTCCATATCAGAGGAATGCAGTTCGGTTGCATACGAGGGAGTTACGCCGTTCGACAAGTGTTGGAATAGAAAAAGCGTTGCGTATCAAAAGACTACAAATGCTAAACAATAGAAGATTACTCAGAAAACGCTATTTTCCAACTCATTTTTTCTCAAACAATGAATTTTTTCTTATTTTTTTCATTTCAGTCATGATTTTCATAATTATAATTAAGTTAAATGATTTGGAAGATCTGTTCTTTCTACTATAAAACGTGTATTAGATGAAAGCTGAAAGATTGTGTTTGATGGTGAGAAGATTGTGAGAAGAGACAGCCTTAATGCAAGAGAAAGCAGAAGCGTTCGGAAAATGAAAAAGCGTCGTACAAGTGAACGAATCCACTTTCTCCATGTTTTTTTCGTAAACAAACAGTCATCGTTCTATCTGTTCATAACGAAACTGCATGAAACTATGAATGAAATATATAAACTTCAATTTATTAAGTAAACTACTTCTCATTCTCTGTAGTATAATCAATGACCTGCTTGCGCTCTATAAAGGATGGGTTCGTATTACGGTAACTCATTATGCCCTTGCCACTGAAGCGCGCCATGCTCTACCTAACCTTCCCGCTTGCAAATTTGTTTTGTTGAACCGTTTACATTTTCTAATAAATAATAGTTTTTTACATTATAGTATATATAAGTTAAAGGTCGGGGTCCTGAGTGGAAACGCGACGCATTTACTTTTGATGATATTTTGACGACAAAAAAAGCTGTACAATATCGTTTACAACTACAAGAATCATGGGTCGAAGATTATGGAAATGAGGGGGGTTCCGATATTCGGAATTAATAGATGCTGAGAGCTTCTCCGTCAGCGATAGCTTCGAGCTACGTTCATAATAAACGCTAAGTTTTAATAGTTAAACCTCGTTATAACCGGTTCTCATAGCAAGTTTATCGTTTGGTCACCAAGCTTTCACTTTGATTCTGCTTCTTCTGATATCCTCCTTGAGTGCGTTGATAAACTTGAGATCACACCTTACTTCTAATCGATAAGTGTGAATAATAATAATAATACGATTATCGTTCAAATGTAGTGTTCATCATCTATGGAAGTATCATATCATTATATAACATTTCGTCATCTTGTGCAATTCTTCTTTCTTCGAATGTTATGAAATATTCCGTTGAATCTTTATAAAAGGATAATTTTTCTCCGTCTCTTAGTGACTGTTCTTAAGGCCTTAAAAGCTTTGAACTCGCAAACTTTCAGCTTAATGGATCGAATATCACAGCAGAACTCTTCCGAAAACGACCAAGTCACTGTGCAAACTTCTTCTCTAGCCAAGAAAGCCGCGGAAGGATTAGCAGGACTTTATGGTTCGAGTTTGCTCATCACGCTATAACCAGAAACTGTTGTAGATTCTGATGGTGAAGATACGCAGGAGAAGGAGGGAGGTTTAGATGCAACTTTCCTTGTCCGGAATAAACCCGCCGAAGTCGAGAAATATGTCATCCACTTGAGGAAGCAGCTTCTTGAAGGTGAAGGTGAAACTTTAGTGGAGCTTGGAATTCCTATAGGAAGTACAGGAAGAGGTAAGACAAAACACATTTCGGCAATTACATCGATACTAAAGGGTCGGGATTGACTGATGAGGAGTTAGCAAAAGCCGTGGCTAATCATAACGAAATTCTGAAGACTGTACCGGCTATTGGAACGAAATATGAAACTAGACAGAATGGAAAGAAGTTCACTGAAGTTTGGCTTGTTAGAGATCCTATGAATGAAGACGATTTTATTGAAGTACTGAAAAGTCTTTTATGTATCCCTAAGTTGTTTTCTTAGGTAAGGGTGGCTGTAGTTGGAAATGTAGATGCTGGAAAATCTACTCTTCTTGGAGTGTTAACGCATAGCTCCCTTGACGACGGACGTGGTTTGGCTAGAACAAAGCTGTTCAGGTTAGCTCAAACTAACCGAAATGGGAACAATAAGTTTTTTCTAGACATAAACACGAGTTCGAATCTGGGAGAACTTCCTCTGTAGGAAATGATATTCTAGGTTTTGACGTTCAAGGAAATGTTTGTACAAATTTACCTATTAAGCTCAAAGTTATCTTTAAGGTAGTTAATAAGCCTGATCCCCATAACCACAATTTGGATTGGGTACAAATCAGTAGAGATAGTAGCAAGGTGTGTTTCTTGAAACGCAATTGTATCATGTGTTTTCAAAATTCCAGCTTATCACTTTCATTGATTTGGCTGGACATGAAAAATATCTGAAAACAACCATTTTTGGAATGACCGGCCATATGCCGGATTATACAATGCTGATGGTGAGATACAAAGTGTTACGAGGTGATAAATTTCTGTTACAGGTTGGAGCAAATATGGGAATAATTGGAACAACCAAAGAACATCTTTCTCTTGCGCTGTCGTTATCTGTTCCAGTTTTCATCGTGGTAGGTTCTATATTCATATCATTAGCATAATTTCTCGTAACGTGTTGTAGTTCACGTGGGTCATTTTTGAACTTTTACGTTGCTAGCGGCTGTGTACATTTCTAGATTTGACTTTTTTTCAACTTCCGATTTGCAGGTCACCAAAATAGATATGTGCCCACCTCAGATCTTGGAGGAGACTATGAAGAACATTGGAAGATTAGTGAAAAGTATTTTTGGTACCCCGTATCTCTTTGAATAATCATTTTTTACAGGTGCCGGTGCTCGTAAAATTCCTGTGATGGTTCGTAATACTAACGATGTCATCCACGCAGCCGTCAATTTCCCCAGCAAAAGGTAGTTACTATTCAAGAGATCATGCTTGATCATATATTTATAGAGTTTGCCCAATTTTCCAAGTTTCCAATGTTGAGGGAACAAATCTCGGACTATTACGCCAATTCCTGAACATAGTTCCATTGAGGCGTACATTAAACGAGAACGATCCTGCTCATTTCCAGGTCAGACATTAGTCGTTATCACAAATTATCAATCTGTTCAGATAGATGATGTGTATTGGGTTGAAGGTGTTGGAACAGTAGTGAGTGGAACTGTGTTAGCTGGAACAGTTCGTGTTAATGATACTCTTCTTCTAGGCCCTAACTCGGTTAGCTTTACTGTGACTTGTACATAATATGAATGACTTTCTTAGATTGGAGAATTCGTACCTCTACCAGTGAAGTCTATTCACAGAAAGAGGATGCCTGTGACCTCTGTACGTTGTGGTCAAACTGCATCGTTTGCTTTAAGGTTATAGTTGCAATTGGGTTCTTTAGTTTATCTTCTATTTAGGAAAATCACTAAGCGTGAAGTAAGAAAGGGAATGGTGATGGTTGATCCCAAGTTGGAGCCAATGGCAAGTATGTCTTTCGAGGCTGAGGTTTGAGCAAGTTTGGAATCTTATCAGAAAATCTTTTCTTCAGGTTCTGATCCTACATCATCCAACTACTATAAAGCCTAATTATCAAGCCATGTTGCACATTGGTTCTATTCGCCAAACTGCTACTCTAGTGAGCCTGGGAAAGGTTTGAATTGCATTATATACCTCAGTTATCAAGTCATATCTTTCAGCAAGAAGTTCTCCGTACTGGTGATCGTGACAAAGTGATGTTTAAATTCATAAGATTCCCTGAGTATATAAGACCAGGTATACAACTTAAATTCTTCCAATCATGCATGTCTTGATCTTAAGGAACTCGAATGGTCTTCCGTGAGGGTCGCACTAAAGCTGTTGGTACAGTTGTGAATGTTATTCCACAAGCCACTCTAGCACAACAGAGAGCAAAAATAAAGGACAAAACCAACAGACCATGTGAGAATTTTACTTTATTTCCGTTGAATCAGTAAAATCTTCTAGTTGCAAAACGAGGGCCAAAACCACCTAACGGAAAGCCGAAAGATAAGAAAGAAGGCGAGCAATCCGTTCAGGATAAATGATCTCAACCTACTTCATATGTTAGCCTTGAGGACTGTAGATATTTCGTCCATCAGTGATGGTTCAAATTACATGCCAATCGATAGATGGCTTTAAAATGTAGTATTTTGTTTCTTTTGGGATGTTGCGTTCTCGGTGCTTCACCGTGATTTAAGCATTTAATAGTTTTAGCAGGTTTTCTTCTATGCTTTACTCTTTTCTTATTTGAGACATATTAAGCAGCGTAATTCACTTCAAAAGAATTTTGTACATATTTTCGCTTTCTGTTGAGCTTTCATCCATATTTCGATTGTGTTAAAACTGGGTGATAACAATTGGGTTCGAACGGTGAAAAAAACGTGATGTTTTCAATAAAGATAGCTTCCTGCGTAGTTCGCGATTAACAATTGTCTTTATCGTTATGCTGTAATATCCTTTTGAGGTTTCAATGTATAGGGACGATGCTCTAATAATTTCTAGTGTGAAGAATAGTCTGTTTCGTATGCTAAATGCTTTTAATATTGTCAGTGTTGTTGGTTATTATCGTTTAACAATGTATTCTATGTATTGAATACGATCCCCATTTCAATGAAGACGTGAAAAATGAAAGTTATGAATATTTGTTGCCGTTGAACATCGTGTAGGCAGTTGCTGCTTAATGTACAACCAACCGCTAATGCTTGCGGAAAAGTTGAGAATGAAAAAAAACACCTCAAGTCCATTCCTTGTTCTCATCTATTAGTTAGCGGTTGTGTACATGATGATGTGTGATGACTGCGAACTTTGTGTTTATTCATTAAGATTATGAAGTATGAGAAGCATCTAACGGAAAGGGATTGTGAGATATCGGTTGATGGATAGCTGCAAGATTTATTAAAACATACAACGTTTTCTGAATAAAAAAAAAAGAAGAAGGAAGAAAAAAAAATCGAATGTTCAATAAAATATCTGATTTTTAATTCTTCACATCGTATGCTGATGAATGTTTTGATGTACGTGTCTAGACATTCATCCCACCTCTCTCTCTTTCTTCTCCTGTTGAGCTGTGAGGGAGGCTGGCCGATTCTTCTCAGTCAGATCTCATCCTATCTATCTGCTGGCAGCTCTCGCCGCCTTCTGATAATATCCAGAATCTCAACTTCCTGCTTCGTTTTTCCTCTATTCAGAATACATACGGTGCAAAATGGTGGTTAGTTCATTTCATTGTTATTTTACTTTTTCCATAGTAGAGTTATCAAATATTATCAATTTCGAATTGACCAATACTTCCGGAAGAGTTTTAATTTTGAACGTCGATGGGATAACGTAGTATAATCCCAACATTGATATAGTTTAGTCTTATTCTAAGACTGAAACTCAAAAACACCAGTGATTTTCGAACTGAAAATGTTTACAAGACCAACTGTTTCAATTAATATTCATTAAATATTTATGAAAAAGTATTTGAAGCTTTTCTGCTTTGCAGCAAGTGAAATTTGGCAAAGAGCAATATGAAGTCATCAAGAAGTTCGAAAATCAACATCATCCTGACATTTGGAAATGGATAATGGACAAGGTAGGAGAGCAAAAATATAATTTTTAAAAATAGAACTTTTTGGTGAGAAGAAGAGAAAATAAAAACAAGGTAATAGATCCACTCACGCTAGCAGACACATATATACGAGGTTGTAATATGGGATGTTCAGAGACATTTTGTACTAATTTTTGCTTAAATTTTTTTTGTTTCTATAAATGAAATCCACGTAAGAGAGGAGAAGAAACTATATTGAGTTTATAACTTCGATAAGCGTATCTCATTGGGTTTCAGGTTGGAAAAAGTGATAATCTGGATATTCTGGATGTTTCGGAGGAAGCTTGTGCTTTCGCTTTGTCATTGGCTGAAAACAATGCGAGCAACAAGTCTGTTTATTTTCAAAAAAAGACAATTTATATCTGTGTTGTACGTCTTAGATTAACTATTGCAACTCGCGGAGATAAGCCAGCATTCGAACTGCCATCCAATGTCTCCTTCCAGAAGGTTGACTTCCGTAAAAACTATAATGACATAGAAAACGTATGTTCAATGTTATTTTAATAATTAAAAGAAAAAATTTTTATATGAGAAACAAAAAAAATATTTTAAATGACGTCAGAATGAAAAGAAGACAGGTTGATGAATTAGCGATGAACAGCAGTTTGCCCTCTAATCTCTTCCTTCTTCTCATTTTTTGCTTGAAGATAAAGAAAAAAAGAAAAAAGAAAATTGTAATTTGAAATTTGATATCTGCCAATGTTATAGGAGATAATGAAATTTATTGAAACTTCTTTCATCTGTTTCAGATTGGATTATTTGATTTCATTATCATAAATGAAGTCACTCATGAGATTTCTGATATGGCTGTGTTCTTCGTACATCTGAAAGAACATCTGAAAGGTTCGTTCATATAATTACTGTTTTATTAGTTAAGATAAAATTTTTTTAGAAAATGCACCAATCGTTATTCTGTCTCGTCCAAAGAACCCTCCTTTACCCGTACCTGAGAGCTGTCTTCTTTTATGGAGAAAGTTGGCCCCTACTCGTGACGAACTATTGAAAGCAGGAACTGCTGTAAGCTGTTTCACCTTAACCATATGCAATGTGATTTCATAGGCAAAACTGAATTCAACATGCTTCTCAGCAGCTGTACCTATAACAGTCGATCGACGTGACTGGGAAAATATTTTATTTTCAGGTATATTACGTAATATAAAATGAGAATTAGCAAAAATTCATGAATGAAACATAGTTCAGTTAGAGTAGTCTGCAAGTGTATGAGTATGTGTATGTGATTGTGTATACGTGTGTGTATGACGGAGTTGACGGTATCTTTTGAAATGTTTGTTTTCAGGTTGTTTTCCAGCTGTTAAGAACACAACACGATGTGGAGAAAGAGAAATTAAAGATTATTGTAATAATCAATCAAATAAAATTGCCTTCGAAGAGAAGTTAACGATTGTCTTATTAAAAAATCCATAATTTCTATGTGTTTGTATTGCCTTGAAGGCTGTTTGTATAGAATATTTCATAATCAACATATGAAATAAGATATGTTTAGTATTAAATATAGAAGATAATTAAATGAAAATAATTGGTTTGTTAGATGTTCTATTGAAGAAATAAATCAGAAAATGAAGGTGAAACATACCTATCAAGTTCATACTTTACAAGCTATATCCTCTTCTTCTTCTTCTTCTCATTCTCGGATGGCAGAAGAAGGAGTACTACTACCGATCTATCGCATCCACTGAAGGTAGAAAAGAGATCTGCGAAACCCGTGGTTCAAGATAAAATATACATTTTATATAATGAAAAATATGAATTTGTTGCCAATTGTACTCACCAAGACATTCGGATGAAAATAGATTTGACCATTTAGACCGCCTTTATATTTCATTAATGTAATTACACGAATCTACTGAAGCCATCTTTTCAAACCATACTGCTTCTTTTCGTCCGTTCTTTTTGGGGTGGTTAAACTGGAAAGTAAAGTGTATTGTAAGCCATTCCTTTAATCTCATTTACATATCACTTTCACGTCGGCGTATGACGTGAGAAATGAAAAAGCTCCAACGTCATTTTAGGGTTTCCGTTCACGTGAAGCGGTCGTCATTTCGCTGTGCAATGAAGGTGCTATAGCCTTATCAATCTTAACACTATACTACGCGAGTCATTATGTTGTTAAATGTAAAGTAAGAAAGCTTACCATTCTTTTTGTTTTCAAAACTTTCTTTTTTTCAAATATCAAATTTCCAAATATTTGTTTCTCACTCGCAAGATTCAAGAAAGTATTCTTTTCAACATTTTTCTGATTTAAATTATGAAAAAAATCTTTTCTTTAGTTTCCAGAACATATCGAATCACTGTTTTACATCTTTTTCTTGTTTTACAACATAGTAAGACATTCAAGTTGTCAGTTAGGTTAGTACCTCTGCTCTTTCATCTTCATAGTCTCATCTTAGTTCTTGGGCGATCAAATGAATACTTTTGATTCCTTCTTTTGATATGCATGAACTTACTTCTGAAGAATGTGTCGCATATATCTTTGACAAGAGAAACATAATATTATATAGAAGTTAATACAAGGAACACTATGAACTGTCCGATATATTCCATTCCGTTCTATGGTTGAGATCATTTAATCAGAGATTTAGATCATTCTGCCATATAGGCTCTCGTCTTTTCTTTCTTTCTCTTTATCAATTCATACGTGATTCTACTGTTTATCTTTCTATTTCTCTCTTTTCATCTTTTCTTTCGTTACCTCCTGCAGTTTTTGTGTTTCTTTATCTTTCTCCCTGTTCCTTGCTCTCCATATCATGGTTTCCCATCCCACCTTGTCTGTCGTTAACGCTATCCCTTTTCCTTTTTCGATGTGTTCCAAAAGTTTCAACCAAAAATTACTTTCGGAACGTCAGAGCGACATCTAGATGATTGTAATTTTGTTAGATGTCGTTTTAACATCATCTTTTACCACATTCAGACCAATGAAACTCTCTCTGTACTTCTTTAAGCTCCTCCTTTTTCTTTCTCTCTTCCTCTCCCTCACTCTTTTTCTTCTTCTTAATTTTCCATCATTCGAGGCCGAAATTACGTAATCGATAAAACAAAATGAATGGCCACCAGTTTAGACAACTGTTACCTCAAAATCAGTTCTGACATACTTTTTCTTCCCAAGCTTCAGGTGATGAGCTACTGGACGACGTGGACAGAGAGAGAAAACCTGTCCTTCAGGCGCTCCTCCTTCCCAACTCTTTTTTTAACACTTTCTCTCTCATCATCATCATTTCTTTCTCTCTCTTTCATTTCAAATGTGATTCTTTAGTTCTTCTTCTCACCTCTTAATAGCCCTAATTCATTATGAGTCACATGATATACTTGTGTTCGATGACGTTTCCCATTCTCGATGTCATTTACTTCGATGTGTTTTATTTTTCATCTTTCCCATAATTTATCTATCTGGCTTCAATCCTTATAAGGTATTAGCTTCAACAAAATGTGGAGAAGATTACAAAAATAATAAGGAAAAGAGGATTGAGGCACACGTACAACAGACAGATAGAGAAGGAGAGGAAGGGAGGGGATGGATGAAGAAAAAGCTAATCAGACTTCATCATACTCTGCGCCAATCCTCACCAAATTCATATGCAATTTGGCCATAAGTCCTCGTCGTTGAAAAATAGAAGCTTGACAGCTTTATAAGTTGAGTATCGCATCAATACCAATGTTTTTTCGATTATACCAGAGTTTGAAGAAAGTTATTATTTTTACGTTGGTGTAGTTGAGTTCTTGTCTTTGAGACGGATGACATCTTCCGGTTCGATGTGCCGGAAAAGTGTAAATGAAAACATTTTTCGTATATTTTATTACTTTTATATGTGTGTTGCCATCTGGTCAATCTGAATTTCCATCATCATCCTCGTCATGATTTTTACTTCAGCTCCTTTCTCTTAAAATCTCTTGCAATTCTCAGCTTTGCTCCTTTCTCTCTCTGTCTCTCTCTTATTCTTTTCATCAAATTCCTCAGCTTATCCCTCTTACCTCTCGATAATTTCTGCTCTTTCCGCCACTAATATCTCAAGCCTTTTTCATTAATCTCCAGCATTTCCTTCAATTTTTCGAACTTCTCTTTCTTCCTTTCTTCTCTTTTTCTTGCTCCTCATCCTCTTCATCTGCAACAAACGACCTTCTAATTACGAAAAATTCAATTTCATCCGAAAAACTTCAATTGCAACACAGAGTTACAAATCATCACAAACCTCATTACTTGAGTACATCAGGATCTGTCCTTGTTAAAGCCCACCTGTTAATCAAACTTTTCGTTTCCCACGATCCTCAAATGACAAGGAGACCCCGTACTTTTTGAACTTCAACTCCAAAGCCTCTCTCTCACACTTGTAATACTCTTTCCCTTTTTCAACATGTTTTTCGTTTCTTTATGGAACATTCGTTTAACATCAAATATATTCAGGTTATAAACCATTTTATTTCAAAAAGCTGCAAATCTGTTCGCGGGAGCAACAACCACGCTTAGGAGTCGGGAACGGGTATGATTTATAATGTTTTGCGATAAAGTGATAAAGTGAAACGACTATCTATCTCAATCTGAATAATATTTACTCTTGTAATTAATGCTGAGGGGAGCGTGAAGAAGTCCAGCATTGCCGTCTTGAAAGAACGAAATGAAAATGTGTGTGCAATTTGGCGTAAGTTGCAAAAAGGCTCATACATCTTACCGCGTACGCAACCTCATTTTTTGATTTGACTGTTCGGAGTCGGTTTAGCTTAATGTAGTTCCGTAGCCAAAATTTGCCAAAACGTGCTACTGAATGGTTGTTTACGTATGTTTTCTCGAATTTCCTGACATTAAGTTTGGTTCGATTGAGAAAGGTTTTTTTTAGTTTTCGCATGCATGCTTTGCAACTTTGGCGATTGTCTTGTTAAGTGTTATGTCTTTTCTTCTTGAGTTATGGATAGCACCTACTTCACATGTGTTTCCATTACTTAAGAAGTCAATGAAATGCCATTTTTAGTTCTGTTTGCTCGTGTAACGTGTCTGTAAGCGAGCAAGGGAATTTGCAATATTCCATGTTTTCGTGTTATTGGAACCTGTGTCTCAATCCGAATATCATGCTAAACGTCGATATAATTTCTAAACGAGACACGTGCTTCTTTAAATTTTGGAATGCGAGATAAGACCATCTGATCTTCGCAAAATAGTTATTACTTCCCTCCTCTTTCACTCATTACGCAGATGCTTTTCCTTCCCAATTTGGGCAGAAAAAAGTTATGTCGGGCGTAACCGCCTGACTAACATATGTTCTTTTCCCTTTTTTTTACGTCGGCGTTTTTCTGATTTCTTGGTATTGATTCAGGTGTATCATTCAAATCATCTTTTGTTTCCCTTTAAAGCAACTATTCCTTATGTTTTTTTGCCATGAACATCAGATTCGGCCAAGCATCCTCCCCGTTTCATCATCGATTATACCTCCAAGCCCATCTTAGTTGTCCTTCTCATCAGCTCATAGCGCACATACATGATCCTCTCTATTTGAAAACAGTAAGAGATTGGAATATTGTCCGCGATTCGAGCAGATTGCTGTGTTCGTCGTAGAGAAACCAACACGAGATAGTCTGATTCGCCTGAAACTTTTGTTTTAATTTGATATTGTCCATTCTACAGTTTTGTTTTTTGATATAGGTATCTTCTTCTTCTTCCTCGGGGATGTTGAAGAGCAAGAAAAAGGATAAGGAAGGAAAGGAGAAGGAGAAAGATAAGGTTGGTATTCTGTGCATGTTCCTTTTTCGTTTCATTTCTCTGTTTGTGTTTGTTATGTGCATCCACTATTGCGTCCTGTCCTACTCATAATTCGATTAAAGCTTTCTGTTGTTCTGTTTTTTCTTCTATAACTATTCAATTGTTTTGCTTGACTTATAGATGGATAAGAAAGATAAGAAAAAGGATGATAAAGACCCACCGAAGGAGATACCCACCATTCAAACCGAAGATGTTGGAGGTTTTTCTATACCTACTATAAATCTTACTTATTTTTCAAATTTCAGGAGATGTTATTCCAGCGGATGCCCCTCCTCTCACCAGTTTAAAAAAAGGCAACTATGGAGGAGGTTCGTTAGTTTGTATCAAAACAACATCAGTTCAAACTATTTAGGACCAGTTATCCCACGTCGTGATAGGCGGCAATCCAGCAGTTTATTTAATATTTCTACAAACCGAGAGCTTACAAAGCTCCCAAATCTGAAAGGCGAGATTTTTTCCATTTTAAACTATTTTCCACTTAACAATTCAAAATGAATTTCCTTTTGCCATTTCGGGCCTCTCATGGCTCTGATTACGCTTCTTAGTCAGCTATTCTGTGCCTTGTTCTTCCTCTTCTGATTTGGAAGATGACGCAATCTCGAAAGAAACCCCTCATGATCCTTTTATAGTTACGTACCATGTATAACATGTAATACATGTGCAGCATAAAACACAATTAAATTATAAAGAACAAAGCTTGATTATGATCTCGAAAGGAATCAGAGATAATTGCTGAAGTTATTACTTGCAGATGCTGACCCTCTTGAACGGGAAGAGCTGTTCATTCAAAAAATCCGCCAATGCTGTGTTGTGTTCGATTTCGCTAAAGATCCCCTGAGTGACTTGAAGTATAAAGAGGTTTTGATAACATATCATTAGCCAACGACAAAGACGAACTTTAGATTAAACGTGCTTGTCTCAACGAGCTTGTTGAATATGTATCAACATATGACGATATCTTGACTGAAAATATTTATCCCGAAGCTATTAACATGGTATTAATCTTTCTTAATTTCTTTTATATCCTTTCCTGTTGTAAAATATTTGTATATTAATCTGTTTCCAGTTCGCCGTTAATCTTTTCCGTCCTTTGTCTCCGCCAACTAATCCATCCGGAGCTGAGTACGATCCGGATGAAGATGAACCTACCTTAGAGGCTGCATGGCCTCATCTGCAGGTATTCTTCATTCAGCTTGATACAGTGATTATACTGCTTCTCAGATGGTTTACGAGTTCTTCCTTCGCTTCCTCGAGCTGAATAAATTCCAAGCTGCCATTGCCAAGAAGTACATTGACCACAAGTTCCTTCTACGGGTAAGATATTTTTGGAGTGCTGAATACAAAATGTTTTTCTCACAGCTCCTCATGATTATGGACTCCGAAGACCCGAGAGAACGTGATTTCTTAAAAACAACTCTCCATCGGATATATGGGAAATTCCTGGGGCTACGAGCTTTCATTAGGTTCATTCGATACATTTAACTGATGACCATTAGAATTTTACAGAAAACAAATGAATAATGTATTTTATTGTTTCATCTATGAAACTGAGAGACACAATGGAATTGCTGAGCTATTAGAGATTTTAGGTATTTCACACTCAACCCTGTAATTGAAGCATTGTGTGAATTTTTCAGGTAGTATTATCAATGGCTTTGCCCTACCATTAAAAGAAGAACACAGAACGTTCTTACTCCGAGTTCTGTTGCCACTCCATAAGGTAATCATCTTCATAAGTTCTTGCTAGTATTTGTTCTGTTTAAGGTGAAATCTTTATCGGTTTATCACCCCCAGCTAGCATACTGCGTCGTTCAATTCTTAGAAAAGGATTCATCGATCACAGAACCGGTTGTTCTGGGTCTATTGAAGTTCTGGCCTAAAGTACATAGTCCTAAAGAAGTAAGAGATTTTATCTTAAAGACTCATGCTAATTTTTTTGTGTTCAAGGTGATGTTCCTCAATGAGTTGGAAGAAATTCTTGACGTAATTGAACCCAATGAGTTCCAAAAAGTGATGATCCCATTGTTCACACAATTGGCTAGATGTGTTTCGAGTCCTCACTTCCAAGTATGGCTTCATCTAGAAGGAAGGATTAAAATTTTCTGTTTTAGGTAGCGGAGAGGGCATTGTATTATTGGAATAACGAGTACGTAATGTCTTTGATCAATGATAATTGTGCTGTGATTCTACCAATCATTTTCCCAGCTTTGTTTAAGAACAGCAAAACTCATTGGAACAAGTATGTGTTCGGTGAATATTTTCTAAATATAACTCATTTGTTTCAGGACCATTCACGGACTTATTTATAATGCTGTCAAATTGTTAATGGAAATGAATCAGCGACTTTTCAATGAGAGCACCCAAGCTTTTGTTAAGGTTTTTAACATTTTCTTTGTTTCTCCTAAAATTTGTGAAATAGGAAAGACAGAATGAGAAACAGCGTATGGAAGAAAAGCAAAAACAGTGGCGGAAAATAGAGGAAACGGCTAGAAGTAACCCATTGGTAATGTCTTACTCGGAACCTTTCATAAGCACTTTCTCGTGTATTTCAGTTCGATGAACTAAAAAGTATTTATGACTTTGACAATATGTACGTTATGAACGGCTTTATTGACGAAGGAGCATCTCTCACACCTCTTAATAAGGATGATGTTCTGAGAAATTCCATTCCAAAAGTAAGCTGGTAGTTTGTTGCTTGTCCTTAACTAATCCCACTTTCCCAGGATGCTGTTGAGGAGCTTTACAAGCGAGATCAAGACTTAAGCATAAAGAGAACTGAACTCCCACCCGATCAATATACTGAACAAGCGTTAGACGAATTTAAAAGGCATGATAAATATCTGAAGAAATTAGGAGATGCTGAGTAACATACAAACAGTTAGTCTTCTATTTATAAAGCTTGTCGTAAAGTTATAATAAGAGATACTCAAAATTCATTTTGATCTGGTAGACTTATGGTCTGATCAGTAAATTTAATGTAACTATTAATATTATTTTAACAAAGTATTCTCAATACTAGCAGTTCACGTTGAAATTCTTTCCTTTCATATCCATGTGTACTTATTGCACTTTAATATGCCACTTTATGATCTATAGATATGTTCTTCAGCTTGCCTAATTGCTCTGATAAGACTTTCTTCCATCTTTTCTCACTCCAACTTCCTCAAATGATATTATAATATCAGACTCTCTTCATTTTTCTCCTGCTCACAAGCATTTGTATATGATCCGACTTTGTGTGAATTGACTAGAAACGCCATGACATTTGCGTTCTCTCTTCATGGGTATTGCATTTCTTCAGAATTGGCATAAATATTTCGGTTTTACATTTTGTAAAGTTATTATAGGATGGTTTTCCAAAAAATAATATATATTATCATACAAAATGAAATTGACGAAATTAGCATAAAGAAGTTCAACTGTAACAAATGCTAATTGTTTGTTCATTTGCATCTGCAGACGTGCAGGAGGCGGTTGTGTTTGAATTTTTCTTAAATTGACGTTGTCATGCAAGCGTGTTTTCCAAGAAAACCCCCCTCAATAAACGAATGTTATCATTTCAAATGAAACAGCATATCTTTCATTGATCTTAGGGATAACTGGAGGAAAAGACGTTTACTGATTTTAGGGACATGCCCTGACAACTGTTGCGACATGAAGATAAATAGTAGGAAGCTGGAGCAGAAATCTAAATAACGCATCAGACGATTAATTTTGCCAGCTTCCACTTTCTCACATTCAATGTTGTGAATAAGGAATGGAACCGCAACAAAGCCTATCCCATAAGAATATTATCGTTCACAGAAAGTTCAGTTTTTGCTCTCCCAACAGCGCTTGAGAAAATTGCTTTCGTCGTCTGTACTTCGTTCATGAACAAGAGCAAGATTACAAATAACGAATTTATTAATGGAGCATACAATAAATACCCGCAATCAGTTGTAATTTTCATGAAAAAAAAGAAAAAAGTTAAGGCCTAACATGAACTAGAACGATAACGGAAATATGCACAAATAGATTGAATTGGATTTTGACAACAAATAATTGAAAGATTGATTAGAAAATAGAAATTTTTGGCAACGTTTTCATGTTTTGATAAGCGTGAACAGGTTAAATCTGGTTTGTTGGATGATGACGTGATTAAACCTTGAACTTCCACATGGTTTTGTGTTAGTTCGAGGATGGTTTGAACCTTGACAGAATGGTGATAAGTTTGGATAGAGTGAGAGAGGGGGGCAGATGTAGAAAAGCAAAAGATAGAGCAGGGGAATGAGTAAAAGGTAATACCGGTCTTGTTTGAAAGGACAATCCATCAGAAGCTTATATTGTTTTCATAATGATTCTATTGATGTAAAGTTGTGTGCTTCTTCTGAAGCCCCCGTAAAAGACAGATTCGGGAAAGTGAACTGCCAACGAGAGTTCTTGTACAGCCCAAAAATTGGATAAGAAAGCTGTGTCGTTTTGCATATTTCCTAGATTCTATCGATGGCAGAGATGTAAAACCCGCTGAGAATAGTAGAGGCAAGATGATTGCATTAAAAATTACATGTGAACACGTAAGTTTTAACGACAATAAACAAATAAGAAGCCTGTCAATATTAAAGCATTTCTGTTGATAAGGAAGTTTTAAAAAGTTCTGTTCGTATGATGAGTGGACGAGATGTTGTTGTGCATGTGACGACTTCAGAATCCAGAATCTGCTGTCGCTTACGTCTGTAATAATAAAATGTTATTTCAATTCATTCTTTTTTTTTCATCATTTTAATGTCACAAATTAGCATAGAAGAGTTTGAAAGTAATATAAGCTCAAATGAATTGATCAGTTGCAATTGCAAATTGGCTATGGAGGATTGTAGTTGAGAAAGTGGAAGGCTATGAAGCTATTCATAGTATCACCTCACATTCATTACATTCAACATGAACTGGAATGTTTCCATCAGTTTTTCCATGTCACGAGGTGTTTAGATGTTTATCATGGAAAATTCAGAAAATAAACAAAATTCTCAAAAAAGATTCTCAGAAAAGCTCTGAATCATTTATAGCTTTCAAATATTTCTTCTAATCGTTTAGGTAAAAATTGCAAGGCTGCTTCACTCACTTTTCTTTATTACTGCTATTCCTAGTTGACATTCGCCGTATGCTGCTCCCGATGCGACTGGCAAAAGACGCCATTACCTGCAGATATATATTTTAGAATATTTCCCAAAAAGAGTGTTTCATATATCCAACACTGTGGATATAAGAAGATACACATGCGTATACGGTGCATGGAAATTTACAAAGAGATTCCATTAGCATTTTTCATTTTGTTGATCATCAAAAAAAGTAAATGGCAAATGGATCTCTTATATGGAATCAACCGATTCCCTATTACATGGCATGCGTGTCGTACCAATGAAATTGCGATTGTCGAGTGATTCCTTATTAGAATTATCTCTTCGCTAAATTTCATGAAGAAGCTTCATCCAACAAACAATATGATTATTCGAACCGTAAATTATAAAGTGTAAGAAGCATTCAACGAAAAAGAAAGAAAAGAAAGAATTGAGTAGAAGTTTCAAGCTGTGAATAAAAATAAAAAAGTTGCTGAAACGAAGAAGCTGTTGCAGGTGCCATGTAAAGAAAATCGGTCAACTTTACCTCACTCAGGGTTACCTCAGAAGTATTGATGATTTTGCTGAGACCAGTTCGTTTCTGCTTTCTTGTTAGCCAAAAGAAGAGTACCGGATTCCAGATAACCAATGACATCGCTATAACATGAGCAACAAGAGCCCAAAGAAATGGCTGAGTGAGTAAGAATGATGGCTCCATTTCTGTAAAGAGTATGTTGATATACATGTTAAGCTCAAGTATAACAGTTTCATAGTTAATCAACTAGCATATGTTCTATTAGAGAGAGGGATGAAAGTTTTTTTCTATTTTCTCATCTCATGCAGTTTAGTATAATGAAGGAGTGAATCTTACTATAATCCTTAACAAGATTAACAGCAGTTAATGGCAGCCAGCAGCCGATGAACGTCACAACCATTCCAATCAGAATATAATTTACCTAAAATGAACGACAATGGAAAACAATTGAGTAAGAAAGCGCTTACTCGTTTCTTCCGACTGATCGCATCACCTCGCTGTTTCTGTGTGAGTGATTGAGAGAACTGGACATTCTGAATGATCATGTCTTTCGACACTTTCTTGAGAATTCGAAAATAACAATAAGTAATTATAGCCATAGGTATGACAAACTATAATATGCAATAGTTAGAATATATTTTACCATGAAATGATACCTGCAATAGCATAACCATCGTTCCATAGAGCCTTCGAGAATTTTCACTTTGCCAATTTGTTTCATCACAGAACTGACCACAGTAGGGTTTACCATCCGGAGGCACATAATATCTGCAATGATTATCTTTTGATGCAAATAAGTTTATACTTTCAATTTAAGCAACCGCTCGTCACAAACGTGCACGTGAAAATAAAAGAAACGCGTCAGCGTTCACGTGGCAGCGTAAATATGCTAATGAGATGAAAGTAATCAAATCATACTGTTGAAAATAAGAATCAGCAGTGCAGTTTAACAATTCGTTTTAGTGACATAGTTAGATTTTCAAGATATCAACAAACCTGCCATCCACCAGTTCATAACTCAAAAGATAAGGCACGTTGATGAGTGAAGAGACGAGCCAAATTAGAATCGTTATTGCTCCAGCTTGGCGTTTCTGAACAAATGTTAATTCGCTTTATATGTTGCGTGAAACATACAGTGACCGGTGCTTTGGTAGGATCAATAATATGAAGAAACTTATCTAACGAAATGGCTGTCAAACTCCAACTAAAAAAGCATTATGAAAACAAACATAAAATAGAAGTAAGAGAAACCTGGTGACAAAGACTGAACACGAGTTGATGAGAGGCATAAGATGGCACATTGCTGATCCGAACTGCCAATCTTTCGTGATGGCATACCTGAAGAAGCACAATTGTCATTCCGTTGATACTTTCGTGTTCTTTTAGAGTTGTGAATTAAAACTAATGAAGAGAGAGAAAGAGAGATAGAGAGAGTGAGATAGTGAAAGAGATGAGGAAATCATAGAGTGTAGTTGAAGCGGTGAAATCAAATACTTTCGTTTGACATATATAATGTTTTCTTTTCAAAACTTACCATGGAGTGACCGGTACAGCTGTTAACACAAGCAGCAAATCCGACAGAATAAGATTTAAGAGAAAAATATTTCGAGCACTACGCAGACGTCGATTTCGAGCAACAGCCCAGAGAACTCCGCCATTTCCGAATAATCCTACCACAAATAAGCAACTGTAGATGAGAGTAAAGAGAGTCTTGACAGTTAAATGCCTGAAATGAATGAAATAATGATGACTTTCGAAAGTTGTTATGTAATTCAGATTTCTCTAATACTGCCGTTCGACAGATGACTGAAAAAGTAGAAAATTCATGTCGGAGGGCAAAGAATTTAAGGAAAAGCTCCTTTTGTTGTTCTAATTCATTGTCTAACAAGCTTCTTGCTTAATCCGTATGTCTTTTGGCCAGCCAAAAGGATGTTTTATGGTTCTTGTGTTGTTTTAACCATATAAGTATTCTCATCACGTTCTAACGTTTAAAGATTACTCAAATTTTATATTTTTCTGCTTCCTGTCCTCATCCTCTACTCTATTTCGTTGTTCATTTTTTCTCTAATTCCTTCAAAATCACTTAAGCTTTCTGTTTCGAACATCTATCTGATGATCAACATGAGCGTCACAGTCTCATCATCCCTGTTTTCGTTCTCGCGCTCTGACCTTTCATTCATAAAACTTGTCTAAAAAAATTTTTTTTGCTCAAAAACTGTTAATTTGAATCTCATAATTTTTGTTTCAAAAAATAATTGAAAATATTTGAACGATATTGTTTGCGGAGGGGGGGGGGAGAAGTACGATTGAGAGAACATGAGAGGAGGGACTGTTGTTCAGCGAGCAAGGTAATGATGTATTGATGATGTTTTTTTATACTTTATGAGATCATTAACATACAAATAAGGAAATTAATATGGAAAGTAATTGTATGAAACGGTAATTCAAGCAACTGGCGGAATGTTCAAAACAGGCAACGGGGGGGGGGATTGAAGTGGGTGAACGGATTGACGTATAAGCTTGGATGGAAAAGCTCAAAAATATTGTCTTTTCCGGATCATTACATGAAGTGAAATGGAGAGTAAACTTAAGTATTTCGTATAGATGGAGAAGAGATGTACGAAAATCATGAATTATGAAGCAAAACGTACGCTGTGACGTCATCGATGCCTTGGGCTCGAATAGCAGCCGCAATATGGATACAAGACTCGTTCTCGCTCATCCATAAACCACCTGTAAAGCTTAACAAACGATTAGAATTCAGTGAAATGAAGTATATGATAGTAATAGAAGACGAGTATACATGATGAAGACAACTTGACAAATGAATATGTGTTTTAATAACAAAAGATATATACATACATGTGGTGTATATGTGTCTGTGTGTGTGTATGTGCTAGAGAAAGACAAAGGAACAAAAAAGGTCAGGAAAGATGAGTTTGATGAGACGGTTGAAAGGCGAGAAGAACTGAACACGAACTAAAAGTTGAATGTGAATCGTATAAAGCTGAAATAGGCTGAGAAATACAAGACAAAATGAATGAAATTTCATTTCAATGGACAACACGGATATTGACCGAATTGCAGATATTTGTAAGCCAAAATGATATATTAAAACATTTGTTCCTTTTTTGTTTTTAACCAAATGATTATGAAAGAGAGAGTGAGAGAGAGAGTGATAGAGGGGTGGAGAGGCTGAGAGTATAGAAGTGAGGAAGTTGAAGAGAAAGAAATATATGAGCACTGATGAAAGAGAGAGAGGGTAAGAGAGAATGAAAAAGGTTGAAAGTATGAGAGATGTAAAGGGAAAGAGCGAGGGAGGTAAAATAACTGTAGCAACAGTAATTGATTTATTGACCAAATTGGGATAATTATTTGAGTTTGAAAAACGAATCTAAATTGAATGGGTAAAGAGCATGAGAGAGAGGGGATTGAGATAGAAGTAGCAGAGCTGAAAATCTTCTGCGATCACTCGGATTGCATGCGAAAGAGAGAAAGAAATGACACAGGAATAGATAGAGAGAGAGAGAGAGAGAGAAAGATAGAGAGAGAGGGAGAGAGAGAGATAGAGATAGATGGATAGAGGAAAAAAAAAGAAAAGTAAGATGAAGAGTGTAATAAAATTGGGGACAAAAAAAGAAAAAAAGATGACAAGAGAGTATGATAGGTGGAAGAGAGTGATAATAAAGAATGAGATGAGGTAACAATGAACTGAAAGATTCTAAATTTTATGAAGTTGTATTGCAATGAGAAATCGTTTTTCCAGACTTATCCAAGTGCATGAGCCGTATGAGGACGTTGACGACAAAATTGTTCAATTCTCTCGTTTCGAGCGTCCAAAAACTGAATTTACTATCAGAAAATAAATAGAAAAGCGAGGAAAAAAGAGATGATCTTAAAACTTTAAAATAAAAAGAAAATATCCTTTAAACGAGATTTTATATGTTAAACCAATTTAGTTATCTATGTGTCTGTCTGGCGGTTGGAGCCAATCGTGAGAAGCCATACGAACTATGAAGATATAACAAACTAATATATACTTCTAACGGATGAGATGAGGAGAAGAAAAAAAAATTAAGGAAGAGATGTCGTCGTTACATCGACGTATAAGGATGACTATGACCAAAATGATGATCAGAAGAAAACGAAAGAAGAAGCAGCAGCAGCAGCAGCAAGTAAATGATGATGGGGGGCTAACAGGAGAGGAAAAAAAAGAATTCACTGAACGACAGTTTGAAAATCAGGATAAAATTGAATTTTAAAAGAACGAAAGAGTGTGTAAAAAGGCTCACAAAAGTTTTAACAACAGCTCACTTTTAACACATTTTTTCGCAAACTCTCTGAACATTTTAACTTTGCGGTAAATGATCCTTTGACGCCGAAATTTTCGAAAGTTCATCCATTTTTCTTTTTTTTTTTTTCTTTTTTTTTTGCTGCCAGAATTTTTGAACAAAACAAATTAATTTATATTCTAACGGAATAGCTTTCAAGAAAGAACCAGAGAGGGGAATAGAAAGAAAATGCAACGTGCTCCGGACGAATTGAGGCTTCTTTTAATTTTTTTTTTTTGCACAACCGACTCTGAACGCTGCGAAATGAGAAAATAACGTTTTGCACGTGTACGTTCACGTGATGTAAGTACATTCAGATTCTCATTAGCATATGATTGTTCTTTACTTTCTCTCTCTATCTCTCTCTCTCTGTATCTCACTGGAATTTCTTAAGAATTCATACTAATAGCTGTGGATGTCTCTTCCGAGCATTTCTTACAATCATATCATTCCAATAACACAAAAAGCAACGAATAGAAAAACACGATTGTCAACGGTCGTCAGCAATTTCCTACTTTCATAACTGAGTTTGATGATCATCAAATACATTTCAACGAGGAAGTACAAAAGATCATACAAATGTTCATTTAATAATTAATTAGAAGAATCCTGGCGTCATACTGATTATGGTTGCAGATCTTACTCCCTCTTCTCATCTATCAGACTGATGGAATGAAAAGCAAGAAAAAGAAAAAAAAAGAGAAACCGAAAATTCCTTATAAGCATTATCATTTTGTGTTCTAACAATGGGCTCCTTAGAGATTGAATAGGATGAGCAAAAAAATTTTGGGCGAACGGAAAGAAGCTTTGATGATCTGGTGCATGCAACATTTTAATTATATTTTCAGGTTTATTTGAGAGTAACTCTGCCTCCCCCTCACTCTCTCATTCTCTTTGTATTCACTCTTTCCTCTCTCTATTTTCCTTTATTCTCTATCATTCTTCTATTTTTTTAAAGGAAGAACGAGGGATTGTTTTGGATATGAATGATCGGTTCATATCCAATCTAGACCGGAGTTCAGAGCCATGCAAAGAACACAACTTTTCGATCCTTATAGGAAGATCATATGATTGAAAAAAAAAGAGAAAAAAAAGATGATGCCCAAACAAGGAATGTCTAAGTTGAATTGAAAGAGACAGAAAATCTGAAAAAAACGTTAAAACAGAGTTACTTGTCTGTTTCGTAAAAAAAAAAACTTTTTTTGACATGAAAAGCTGAACTAAAAAAACGACGACGAACGAAAAGCTCTTGTACGGAATTAAGAAGTTTTGAAAAAAAAGACACAAAATAAATTTATGATGTCTTGTGTTGTCCTGCTCTCTTAGTTCTTAACTCTCTCTCTATCTCTCTCTTTAACTACTTTCTCTCTTTATTTTCCATATTTTAGCTGAATATGGTTAGGCCGTTCTATGATGCCAACAACTGAATGGTTAACTGAGAACATATAGCCTGAGGCTAGCTGAAAACGTCGCTGATGAACAACTCCGCCTTTTCAAACAGAGAGACAATATTATGAGAGGAGGTTATGAAAATGGGAAACGATTCGAAAAAAACCATTTCATCTGTTTAGAGCTTGATCGTTATTAAATAATTGGAATCAAATGAGATAATTCAAAGGAGAAAAAGTATTTTCTCAGACCATTTTGTGATTGAACGGATTCCGAAATACGTGTGTGTGTGTGTGTGTGTGTGTTGTCATGAATCTGATAATTCAGTAGATTTTTCAATGAATTTACATATTTGTTGAAGATAGGGGGAAGAAGAATAGACGATTGATGAAGAAAAGAGAAAAAAATGATATTACATGAAGAAACATGCGAGATATGAGAGAAGATTCAAACAGAACATAATTTGAGAGAAATGACAGAAGAAGAGATAGGTATAGAGAGAAAGAGATTGAGTGAGAAGCTATATGAGAAGGATAATGAAGTGATAGAGGAGCGAGTGTAGAATATAACTTGAATAGCCTTGATTGAGATTCATCTTATAATTACTATCGTTCATATGATTCTCAACTTTGGGTCTGACTTTTGGAATGTATTCACGTTTTTCATACAATTGTCTGGTCGGAGAAGTCAAGATGGTGACTCAAGAGCATGCTTCATGTGATAATCAGAAGCTGGACGACTTCTTAATCAACAATTAATTGAATAATTAGTTCAAATGAAGTGACATTTCTTTGCAAAGTTCACATAGCCTCAAAAGATAATTTAAATTGAGAGAGAGAGAAGTAGTGGGGGAGAGCGGAAGAGAGAGGAAAAAGTAAAAAAGAAAGAGGAAGAAACGAACAATGAAAGGAAGAGGGAGTGAGATTTGAAAACTGATCTTATAAGAGAGAACTTTGAGAAGGGAAGACAGCAGCTTCTTGACCACACAACAGAGTGGAGTTTGAACTGAACTTCTCCATCAACTGCTTGGAGTACAAGCTGGGGATGACAAGAAGAATGATTTCATTGATAATTGGAGCATTAAAACGAAGAAAAAACTCTTGTCAAACTCAACAAATTTTTCATCACAAAATCTCTGAGTCAACAGCTTTTGGAGAGAATTCGAAAGGAAAATTCTTTTTTTCTGGCTTTCTAGATGACGTCGCGCTGATCAAACTGAAGCATAAGATAGAAGCAGAATGATGTTTTCAATTATGAAACAAAATATGTTTTGCGAATTGAGAAAAGAAAAGGTAATAGGAAAATGAAGTGGAAACATTCCATATCTTTCATTCCGTGACGAGAGCTGCTTATAATTCCAAAAGCACGAGGACCCAGTTTTGACACGCTAAGTTGGTTATCATATACAAATTAAGCGAAACAGAAATTATGCAATGGACTGCTTAGAACTAAACAGATTTTTTAAGTGAACCTGATGATTCAAAGTCATCTGATCAAATATCGCAAAAGTAGGTAGAGAGGTAGTCTGGATGTCAGAGAGAAAGAAAGAAAAATTGAGAGAGAGAGAGGGGGAGTAGAAGTTCTTTCATTTGACGTACTCAAACCTAATTCTGTATTCATCCACGCTAAACTCAACCCATCAGGCACGTCTTCGATGACTTCTTCTTCGTCGACGACGAGAACGACCAACGTCTCTGATTTCATTGATCTTTGTTGTCAACTTTTTTTTTTATTCTTTTATGAAAGTAAACACACCAAACCTACTGGAGGGTCCGTTTGAGAAAAAAAAATCTTCAAACGTTTTTTCTCTCCAAGTCTTCTTATTATTTATGAATAAATTTTATTCATGAAATACCAAATGATAACATGACGATGTACGTGACATCAGACCATCTAGATGTCGCCAGATTCTTCGAATGCACTTCTTTGTGGGTAGCTTCTTGCCTAACGCACATGTCACTTTCTCCCTTCATCTCTCTCTCTCTCTCTCTCTCTCTCTTTT